CATCATAGTCATATTCATACGCGAGCATAAGGGCATTTCAGCACTGGGACAATGGCGAGACCGGACTTTTTCGCCACTCGATTGCAGTCTGCCTTCTTTGTGGCCACGCGACGACGTCGACTGCCAATAAAGGTCTTCCTTTATGAAGTCTGCTGCACTTGGTCGCAGCTGTTCGAACGGAAACGGGCCAGTGTAACCATTCTTTGTTTCCCAACTCTTTCAAACGTTCCCACTTCAACCGTTCAGAGAATTGAAAATCGCAAGGTGCTCGAAGGATCTCTCCTGCCATAGACCATGCTCCACGAGCTTTTCCAGTATTATCAGACGATAAGGTCAGACGGCAGGTGAGACGTATTTCTCTTCCCAGGCTTTTATCTGCCATAACTACACAGGATGTCGAAAGCAAACACGCAGACTGTGCTCGGAGAGACTCTCCCTTGGAAGTAAGTTTCGCTGGCGCGACTTCAACATGATAAACGATGGCAGGAACAACAATGGGTTCATTACCGAAAGTCTGGCCCAGCTTGGGCCCCCTTGGCGAATCCTGGCCCGGCGAAGGGGTCCGGGTCGGTGACCTCTGCACACGGATGGTCGGCTCGCGGCACGGGCCTTTGCGAAAAGTACACGTGCACTGAGCAAACGTCCCTTCTAACACGACGAATCTCCATCTGCATCTGCATCGCTGGGAAATTATTTGCAGGGACTTAAAACTGGCCGAAAAATCGCCAAGCGCGTAAATTACCTCGGTATCGCGGATCATGGCCGCGACGCTCGGCGAGAGTCACGTGGTAGCCGAGTGCCGGTGTCGCAGAAAATGGCTGACCGTTGAAAGCGGGCGTTATTCAGGAATTTTTATCTGCTGGCATAATAGCTTCGCCTGGACGAGCTCGTAAGCTACAATTTCCTTTTCGTCGCAGCCGGTAGTGCGGCGGCAACATAGTCGCCGAAAAATAAATGCATGCACGGCCATTGTGCGGGCACGCACGAGGGAACAACGGCAGCGAGGGTTTTTGTTGCGAAGTATGGCGCAGTATGCGCGCCGGCTCGTGTCGTGTCATTCACACGACGGCCTTCTTGAAAGAGTCTCGCGAAAGCCAGCTTCTTTTCACTCCCGACGAAAATATCCGGCTGAAAAGAAATTCCTGGCAGCCGTGGCCGAGACTTTTCTGTAGCCTCGGGATTCCTCGGGGCCCAGTGAATCACCTGGCGCTCCCGAACTTCTCGATCCTTCCGCTCGCGTCGTCTCGCGCGCTTTTCCAAGCAGGAGGATCGATATCGAGGTTTTGACACGTGAAATCCACACTTCTATATATAGAATCGATCCTTCAGAACGATTCCTCTCGCGGTTTCAGCCTGCGTCCTGTCTGCCCCTTTGATGCGGATGAAAAGAGGAAAAAAGGGGGAAAGAAGGAGGGGAAAAATCACGTTTTCGATTTAGCATCGGACGCGAAATTAATGATCGTTTACGATTATTAATAGCGACGCGGAGGCCTCGACCGTCGTCGGACGCGAATTTCGCACGATTATCGTCGGATGAAATACCTCAGCTGCGGCTCTTGTAATTGCCACGTACCGTGGAGTGATAAATAATTTGCAAATATACCGCGCCGCGCAACGACAACATTGTATACATAGGGGGCGGGCTTGCGGCGTCGATAGTCGCCCGAAGATTTATCGATCCTTTCGATCGCCGTTTCGCAAACGCGACCTTGAGCCTCCTCCACCCTTTGTCTTGCTCCTTTTTTCCGCTCGTCCGTCGCACCGCTCTATTAGCTCTTTCATCTTCTTCTATCGATCCTGGACAATCATCGCGGATAATCCGCGTGCTTTTCACTTGATAAGATTTATCGCCTCGGTTTGTCCGGGGATAATTGTTGTTTAGACTTCGGGCTTAAACTTCGAATGAACGCGTTCGTTACCGGGGTGGATGAGAAATCGAAGCTGAGGAGCAAGGAGGCTGGTCCTTTTGCTCGCGTTCCAGCGAATCTGTTACTTTTCAAGCACTCGTTCCTCCGCGGAGCATTCGAAAGATAACGGAGACCCGAGAGGAGGGTCAGACGAAGAAGAGGGAGAAGCTATTGACCCGTTTGATTGATTAAAACGTCGAGCGCGTCGCAGTTGTTCGATCGCTAAATGAATTTCGTTCGCCGCGCCAGCCAGGTATACAAAGCGGCGCTTTAAATCTTCGGGGCTTAATAATCAGTCTGAAGGCTCGTAACTCTTCACGGTGAATCCCCCGTGTGCAAACCGGGGGACGTTGAAGGCGAGATGGGGCGCCATCTTGGGGGCGTGCTGTGCCATTCGTCGGGCCGAAGGAAACGCGAGGAGAAAACTTAAAATAGTATTTTAGGCACTTGGCTTGTACCTTTGTCTTCCATTTCATTCCATTTCATTGTCTATTCGACGATTTCTTCGGTCAATGTGGTTCGGATGAAACAGCATCGAGGGAAAGTGCGCGCGTATAGGTTAGGAGTCGTCCATCATGGCGGCCGCGCAAGTGGAGGCCTCTGGGCGCGATCTGCCGTTATTAGAAGCGCGTTATAGCGCCGCCGGTGTTACACGGCGTCGGCAATAAACGAGCGATTTTAATTGCTCGTGCTATAAAACATCCCCGATGAAGACGTCCACGTTCGATACGGCGTGGGACCAATTATTCGCCAGAGGGCGAAAAATTCCAATCACCATAGACGACCACCACTTTTTCTCCGCTCTCTATCCCCCTCCATCTTCCTCCTCGCCGATCCCGGTCGATGAATATTCAGTTTTCGGATGAACTCTATTCCACTCGGTATTTCACTATTCGAACTTGACCTCTCGCGCGGCCGGATCTCGCCATCTTTGGCGAATAATAAAGCGCTCGTTCTAACGCCGCGGCTGCCACTGGAAATTCGTGATGTTTCAATTGAATTGCAAACGGAGCGTAAAGCGCCGCTAACCATCTCCGAGCTGCATGTACATAAGCTCTCGCGAGAATGCCCGGTGCGTTCGTCTGGCCGTTTATTATGGCACCGAGGGAAATTACGAAGCGCGGCCTGTGGTCGTGGCTGCGCGGGAATGTGCAATTCGCGGTAGAAAATGAACGCCATACTCGAAAACTTTGCCGAGTCCGAGTGTTCTGCATCTCTTAGAAGCGAATAAAAATATGGCGAATAATTAAGTTCGATTGGAGAACCCTCTCGCGGTGGATCTAGGAACTTACCCCTCTTTGTTTGATGCCATGAAACATTCGAAGAACTAAAAACGATCTTCCGTATAAAGTTCGAGTTCGAGTTTAACTTTAGTCCCATTTTCGAGGCCAATTCGAGGACCAACGCTATCCGAGAATTCCCTAGGATTCCCTAGTATTCCCTCTTTGTTTGATGCCATGAAATATTCGAAGGACTAGAAACGATCATCGTTCGAGTTCCAGTTCCAGTTCCATCTCAGTCGCATTTTCAAGGCCAATTCGAGGACCAACGCGAATTCCCTAGGATTGCCTAGTATCCCCTAGTATATGCCAGGATACATTGTTTCCCACGTAAAAGAGGGAACGTATGGACGGTATCGCGGAGGGCAGGCCTGCATTCTGCATCGGCAATTTGCATGACCGATGATCGAGCACTGGTGCACCGACGGTGGACTAGGTGCATCGTCATTACGCACTGACCAGATACGATCAAACTGTCGGTAATGATAGTCGCGCGACCCGGCGCACGTACGACGAACGCCAGGGTCGCGTTTATTAAATTACGTCAAATTATTGGTACGCTCCGAGGGTCGATTATCGGGGCTGCTCGTTCGACCGCCAGGGATCGTTCTCCTTTTCCCCGATTACCACGGGAAACCGGCGCGAGGTGGTAGCTGAGATCTTCATGCTCTTGGACACGGCTCTTTGCCGATCTACCAGCGCTCTGACACGATTCCTGCCACGATGGAAAGGGAAAGGGGCAAACGAGCTCGAGAAGTGGTTACGTGAACGAGAGATTCGAAGAGAGATTCGTCTGGACGGATTTTAGGGTAGATTCCAAGACTCGGTTGAAAATGTGTACGCTTCGTGAATCGATGACAACTAATTTTAATTATGGCATTCTGTAAAATGCTCTATCCTGGGTCTGTTAAATATTACAGAACACCTAATTTGCCCTGTACCAAAAATATACCAATCAGTCGATTTTGATCATTTTCGCTGGCAAGAAATTAACAGAATGCCAGTGTTTCTGTCTCAATTGCCTGACGACGTGTGTACCACGTTGTTGGCGATTCTGCGACAAAAGTATTACGACGTGCGTGGCACGTCTTTCCAGCGCAAGTGGTTAACACTAGATTTACAGAACCGATTGACTTCCGTTTATTTGACGGAAGGGTTGCTCCAATTATACGATGCTAACAGATTTAGTTAACTTATATTAACACTTTGCCGGCCGCTCGCAGACGTGACTTTGGTTCAGCGCGGCACAATGTTTCATTATGCTTCTGTTTTAACTCTGCCGATCGTCTTTTCTCGACATTCTTTAAGCAGATGCTTGTTCCGTTAGTCTCAAACATTAGTGCCTTTTTAAATAATAAAAATAGCGTAAATATGATCATCAACAACTAGTAGAACCCGCGCGAAATTCACTGGCGGCGAGAAATGAGCGGCCGGTAAAGTGTTAAGACTGTTAATATAATATATAATTATTTTTAAATTAAACTAATCGTTAAAAAAAAGGCACGTGGTTTCCTTTACCTGTCAATTTGACAGGTGTCCTTAGAAATAGGTATACAGATAAGGTCCGTAAACCTAGTGTCAATTATGGAACTCTATAGAAAACTCTTCCTTAGATCTGACAATTATCATAGAACACCTAACTCCCCTCGTACCAAAAGTATTCCAATTTTATGTCAACTTCGTATAGATTTCGATTTATTTCATCAACGAGTGGAATATCAAAGAGACCATAGATTCATTTCCTTTCTATTATTATTATTATTAAATTTAGTGAATAAGCACGTATAATTAATGCGTGAAATTTTGCTTTCAGATTCGAACCGACGAAGGGCTGAAGAAGGCAGAGAGCGGTCCGGATGGGGCGTGAAGGATCTCCGATGTCTTCGACTAATCAAAACTCGTAGCCAGAGCTCAAGTATCGACGGAGGGACGGATCTAGGGTCCCTCGATGATCCCACCATTTGTCCGATTTTTTTCTTCATTTTTTTTTCTTTTGTAATTCATCGCAACCGCGACAGCCATTGGAAGAAGACCTAACCTTTTGAACCGGTCTCGCGTCGAACCGCGCGAGATTATTCGAACGAGAGAAGAGGAAGAACGATGACAGCATACTGCGTGCTTTCTGCGATCGTCGATCGAAGCTTCGGGTTCAGCTTTCAACCCCGGAAGACGAGCCCGTGAACGACGCCGGTTGGACTAGCCCGGAGGAACCGGAAATGGCACCCAGAAGATGGCGCTTACCGTTCGCGATCTAAGATTGAGGATCTCTGTAGCTGTAGAGTAGAACCGATCCGAGTTTCTGACTTGATCGACCTATGTAATAATGGAGCTAGCAAAGAAAAAGCGTGCGACTAGATTATCCGCGAAAGGACTCAGGGAACAATTTTGCAAACGGATCTGCTTTCTCGTAAAGGCAAATTGTGATCTAGAGGAAACAAGATGTATGAAAGTCCGATTGATCTTCGTAGACTAAGATTTTTGTACTATTGCTGTTTGAGTTCTTTTATCGTATAAGTTCAAGAGACTCGGGCTGCGATTTAGGGAACTCGTCCGACCAAAGTCTGAGCGACCTTCGTGGCTACAGAGACCTCGCTAAGCGACGTTAGACTTCTCAGGTTTCGTTCGTCGAGTAACTGAGAGAAAATTCGCGTGACGATAGGCGAGCGTCGTTTTGCAAACGAGTAGGATAGCCGAGCGAATCCAGAATGATACAACGATCAATGGAAACAAGTACACGAGGATGGTTTCATAGAACTCTCACGAGATCGCTTCTCACGAGGGGAAGGAGGATTAAGGAGCGTGGCAGACGCAGGGGATGAGAGGTGGTCAATACCGGAAGCGCTTCTCGTGACGCGGAGATTGCGAAAAATCATCAGGCACACGATTAGCAGAGAGATTTACGCTAACACGCGCCGTTAGTTAATCTAATAGGGGGCGTAGTTAAGGATTATGAATGCCATAATAATGACCAACTTCTTGTGGTTGTACTTAAGTCATACCTTTACACTTTACTGTTTACGTTTAAGGCCAATTAAGTACGTAAGTTGCATAATACTTCACTATCGGAGTGTCTTCGAGTTAATTACTAGGCATTTATTTCTACATCCATTTTTTTTTGTTTCTTTTTTTTTTCTATTTCGTTGGTTCCCGGTACCGGAAGATTCCGTGACACGATAGTCGTCGACTCACTGCGCAGAGGTGTAATGAATTCTGTATCTTTTTTCCCCCCCTCCCGCCCCCCTTTCTTTCCCTTTGAAAGGAAACTTCTTTCTGACGGATGTTGGCCTTTCGAACGAACGAGAGCTTGACAAATCACCAGTCGTTTGTCACAGACCCCGGTTCGAGGTTCCACGAACGTTCTACCTGTTACTTACAGAACGATGAAATATTAACCGTGTACCCTTTCAACTTTCATGTTTTAGTCTCGGTTAATTATCGGGTAAAAATTCAGACATGCGATCGATTGGTTGGACAATTTGTTTTTAAATTAGCGATACGTTCACCTCTGCGTTCAGTGCTTGGAAGGAAGTCGACAGAGGCCTGTGACACCCGAGATTGCGCAAAGGAACTGCTTAACGAACACTTTATCGGAAGTCAGGTATCGAGACCGCCTGTCGGTTAATGGTCCTGGCCAGACCCAGCGCTCTGGACCTTGGTCTCACTTTTGTGATTATTATTTAAGTAGACTCTAAGCGTACGATTAGGTTAGGCTAGGCTTTTTACAATGATTCTTTATGTTTCTTTTTAAAAAAAAAAAAAAAAAAAGAAAAAAAAATGTTCGTTTTGCTCTCATTCTTTTCTCGACGTTGAAATTTTACGAGCGGAAGGTAATGGACGAATCATGCGAACAATGTAAACGTAGTTACGAACGACATAGTTGAACTGGTAATAGTGGTAACGGCGCTCGTGAATTTGGAAAGAAAAATCAAGCGAGAAAGGGAGTTGTGCATTTATACGATTCGAATATCCCGCCAAGAACGACCATTTTCCCCAGAGGCGCAGCGAAGCAGAACCGAAATAGAATTCGATTCGAATGCTGGTTGGAAAGATAGTTTCATGATAAGAATACGTTTTAATCCGTACGTCGTAATAGCTCTTACAGTTCTCTGTAACATAAGTTTCCCTAGTTGTTAAGAAGATGTAGATTTTGGATTCTCATGATAAACATTCTATTTTGCGTAATGAATCCGAGTAAGAAGGCACTCGGTCCCCTTTACGATGGAACTCTGTGCGCTATAATCGTCCGTGAAACAAGAACGAATATTTCGTATGTCGACGTTCGCCGAGATTTTGCCAGGAGAACAGATTGCAGTGCTGCCAGTGTTTATCGCGTAAAACTCCCTATTTTCTATTCTGTTACCCGACCATTGCATACGATATAATTTCCATACTTTATTTCGTACATACCCCTTTGTCCTTGTCTCCTTGTTTCCTTCCTCCATTAAGTCTAGTTCTTTACAGGGCATTGGATGTATCATTGTCCGCGTCTTCACATTGCACCTGATCGATGTGAAATGACGTTTCAGCGTCGCAAGGAAACGCGTAGGTTTTCATCATGTGGTTCGTGTTTTCATGGCGAAATGCTCGATGCGTAAGGGTCGAGGATCGTTGTGCCTTCGAATGCACGCGTTCGAATGATACGTTTATCGATCGTAAGAAGAACAGACATCCACTTTGTGATTTCGTAAGCAGTTGTTCAGTGTTTTTTTTTTTTTATACTTTCCTTAATGCTTATCTAGGATAGCTTGTGTACCCTAAAGAGTGTTTCAATAAAAGTGACAATGAAATCAACACCGATCCTGTATTTTCTTCACCCGAAAAATAACTTTCACTTTCAAACAGCACTCGTTCCGTAGTTGAAAATTCGAAACTAACTGATTGTCCTCTGGTGGTAGATAGCGGCACTACAGTAGTAAATATGGCGGTCGTGCGGGATACGAACTGTTATTTTACCGCGCTTTTATTCGTCATTTTCACTGACTGTTTTGAATGAATCCGTGGTTTTTCGCAAGTTAGTGGTATTAAAGTCGCGTCATCATGTGATTAAGTTATATATATCTGTTTCCGTTACCGATACTTCGAATAAATTGCGGACGTTTATTTCCGCTCGTGTAACTAGTGTACGGAAATTTCATATTTTAGCGCGTATAAGAAAAGCTAAATTCGCGAATATGGCATCACATTACGAAAAAGTAGTTTTATGTCGTGGTTTGTCGGAAAAGAATGATTCACAAGGGGCTTATGTAAAAATATTGCAAATGGCAGGTTATTCGTGTGACTGTTTACCTACTTTGTGTTTCGAATTTGTGAATAGATCGGAGCTGAAGACCTGTCTTCTGTCGTCTTCTTCATATTACGGTAGTAATATTACAAAAGAATTTAATACTTTTTAAATATCAATAATTTTCATGAAACAATACATTCACAGGACTTATTTTGACCAGTCGACGTGCCGTAGAAGCAATTGAATTTGCTACAAATGAAGATAATGACATTTTACAACCCTGGAAAACTTTGCCAGTGTTTTGTGTAGGGCCAGCAACTGAATACTTTGCCCAAAGTCACTTAGGTTCAGAAAACTGCTTTGGTAAAGAAACTGGCAATGCGAAAGAGTTAGCAGAGTTATTAGTCACCTCTGTTGCAAAGGAATCTAAGCCTTTATTGTACCCATGTAGTGAAATTGGACGCGAAACAATTGAAAAGACTCTTAATGAAAATAACATAAAAGTTCACAGGATAGTTGTTTACAAAACTTTGCCCAGTAAAAATTTAGAACATGATTTATTGAAATTCATGGATAATGTGCCCAGAATATTTGTTTTCTTTAGTCCATCTATAGTACAATATATAGTAGATTTATTGAACAAAAAATCTTACAATATGAATAATATAAAAGCAGTTGCTATCGGACCTGTGACTAGGCAAGCATTACTTGAGGCTGGTCTTAAACCTTTTGCTACTGTAAACAAACCTGAACCAACATCTTTGTTGGATGCTATTAATGATGCTGAAAAGGGTGAACTTGGTGAAAAGACTGAATGAAGAAATTGTTTATTGTTATACTATGTAAGTATATAATTGTTATTAATTTATTGAGATTATGTTTAAAGTGTTAGTATTATGTTATGATACTAACAACTGAGGTGAAAGATATATTTAATATCGCTAGAAAATGATATTAAATGATAAATAATATATTCTTAGTTTCTTAATCATGCATTACAAACACAATAATATAGTCTCAATGGATTAAGATATTTTTGTTTATGTTTGCCATCTTTATATAATTTATATATAATTTATTTATATAGGATATGTGTTAAAACAAATTGTTTAATGTCAACCAATTTATAGGTTGATAGATAATATTAATAAGTTTTATTCTTGTTATTATAATAAATATGTCTTGTTTTATTGAACATATTAATTGAAAAAAAAGAAAAAGAATTAGATTACCATCTATTTACAATATAATGTTATGTAGTTCTTGTATAACATCATCTATACATTACTACATTTTATAAGTCATAACATTAAAAAACTGATATAATCAGAAAAATTACTTCCCTGTATAATAAAGGGAATTTTTGTTTTTCATGATATACTGAAACAACGCGACGCAAAATATTAACATTTAAAAATAATACGTTTATAACAAGTGAAAGAACAAATAGTTCATGCAATTGTGCGTGTCAGTCTTTACCATTAATCTCTGTAAGATTTCTTATTATTTTTCTCAAAGGCGTGTGTGTAAATAAGTGTTAAAAAATACTGCTTTTTAAGAACACCTATAATATTCGGGACGATCGTGTTTCTTATTTGATACAACCTTTGATGATAGACCTTATAGTTTATAATTTTAGTATCTACTTCGATTAACCACATTTCCAAGAAGGCACGAAATTTCTGCTCCTACAATCGTAGATTGATTAGCATAATAAGGCTGAGGTGGATTTCCTCCATTATTATATTTCATTTGAACAGCAGTTTCATAATCAGGTGCTGGTCTATAGGACGGAAGTAAGGCACGTAAATTGTTGATGTCTGTTGACGATACGGATACAACAGGATAGGGCGATGTTGACAAATCGTTGTAACTAGTCCACCTCGTGTGACCCTCTGTATTTCTGTTGTCCAAATTTACTGACACCGCATGATCTCCCGAGTCATTCGTGTCGCTGTCCTAAAATACGATACAAAGCTTTTATTCAAGTGTTTTCTTGGCACAATATTATGAATGAATGAAATATTATTTACGAAATATCCGTTAGTCGATCTCTCTATTGGCCGGGATTCTTGATGCTGCATGTAAAATGTGTGTTGAGCTATGCACAAGCGCCACACATATTTTGCATTGCGTGACTCGGTAAATATGAATTGTTTTGGCTCCTCGCCTTCTGCTTGACATTCTATTCTAAATGTCTTTTTGTGATTGATTACATTACTTATATCTTTCCACCTGAGGCATGTATAAATTTTCGTTATGTTTGCTGATTTAGTATTTTTGAAATATGATGTTTAATAAAGTAAATACCTATAGAATTGTGTTGTTTGTGTGTTAGGGTAAACAACCATAATCCCATTGATGGAAATTCCTAGTATCACTTCATTGTTACCATTGTCCTATATTTCAATAGATGTAAGTTTATTCTTCGATACTATTGTGTTGTCATATTACAAATTATGGGTTCAGTGTGAATACCTTAGTAGAAAATGTTTCATTTCCATATCCTTCTAACTGCATAACAATAGAAATGTACAGTTCCTCTGCTGCAGCTTGAGTTACACCGATCAGATTCTTATACTGGCATACTGCAGTATGCAAAAGAGAATCTTGGCCTCCAGGATCTGCTTGAATAACATCCTAAACAATAAAGTAAAATGAGAAATAAATGGAAGGATTCTTATTATGTTAGTGTTTATCAATTTTTTATTACCTTAGGAAATAATGTACATTGTTGTAAGCATTCCATAGTATGTCGTTCTGCATCATAGTTACCAAATTCTGCTTGCATCGAGTAGCTGGCTAATAGCGTTGCTTGTCTGGAATTACATTGAAATCTACTTTCCAGAACATCACTTTTCAACTGAAGGTAATAGTGGTACCTGAAAACCAGATGTTTAAAAAGTAAGCAATAAATGAAAAGTATAGAAATATCAAAGATATCGCATACCTTGTCATTTCATCTTGTATAAGTTGTACATCGGTAACATAGTACATGACTCTCAGATATAGACTAAAGTTTTTAGCTTCTTTTTCCAATTGCTTTTTTAATGGCTTATCCATATCAACCCATCTTGGAGATGGAGAATCATGCCGGGAAATATAACGTAGACCAAAGAATTCAGGTTGTCCTAGTCCTAATCGTTGAGTCACATTGTCCAAACATTCCTGACCAAGGCTATCAATGCTCAGTGTGCATTCTATAGAAGTAGTATCCAACAGTTCTATGCAGATCACATACTGGTTTTTCGAGACCACGTTATATTGTCGACTTTTCTTCAAATGGAATTTAAACGGCATTTTAACGATGCGTTTGACTGAAAAAAAGATACCATAGGTATAAAGTTAAATAAAGTTGCAGAAATTGAATCTTTTACGTTCGATTCGCCGCGTCTACTTTCAGAAAGTGCTTTTGAATGAAAAAGTCACACGAGTTACGATAATTTAACAATGAAAAAATCAGAAGAGAAAGATAAAAGAATGCAGTATCGATGCACTTTTATTGAAGCTACTAAAGGAAAGTAAATACCGTATAACTACGACCAAACACCGAAATACTTCACATTCCACGATACTTTTACTTTTAATTGAAATATATGTGCATACACGTACTGTATACATTCCACTCTGTCGAGCATGAGAAATGTATAATTTTTCACGTTTAATAAATCGAAAGCATTTCTAACCTCGTTTCTCACGTCATTAATGCTAGTTACAAAACTATGGTATACAGTTCCTAAACCAAGCGTCCTTGACGTGAGGTATTAAAACAATGAATTTTTCATTTAAGATAAGGGAAATTAAAAAACGACATCAAAATTTTCATAGGAAATAGATCAAGTGTAGGAAATGCATAAAACTGGCATATCGATCGTAAATAAAAGTAGTTTCTGAAAATGACGTGTTCTCCAAATATTTTTTAACTGGATAAATCATATCCTTTTGCAATTAGATAATGGACGTTATTAGTATTGTATTTTACACTGAAAAATTAGTCGGATTTATGCTGAGATTGCTGAAAGTTGTTTACATTATTGAAAAATCGAGAATGATATTCACTAGAATTAAATACCACTAGATTTAGTTACCAAAGAAATTCCCTAAACATCTCATTATGCAAGTTACTTAAATTGCTCGACGTAATGTGTACACGGTGACTAATGGCTTTATCAAAATTAATCGCAGCCTTTTATTGCAAATGCTGCTATCGTGTTGGATCGAATAAAATTTCAAGTTTCGCGATAACGCGAGTGTGACGCGTGTAAAATTCCATCTACTAGAGTTTTTGCGTCTTTCTTATATCTTCGCCAGGAAAGTTAAAGTTTCTATGGCACGCGACGAAACAAACGTTTATGAATTTTTAGTACAATAAATATATTTTATAACCATTAACAAATCACTATTACAATACACACGTCGTCTAAAATAATATAGGACTCAACCTCTTCGCAAAACATTCTTTATAAAACATTCTCTGCCCGAGTAGACAGTTCTTTTTTTTTTCTTCGATTCTTCCCCCTTAAATCGAGTAAAATTGCGTAGCCGTGGAAGACTGCATCTCTATCTGCCCCATCTTGAATTGCAATCGATGCAACCATCGTAACAATGTGGCATTCGATTCTCGTCTCGACGAGACAAAGTTTTCCGACATTTTGGTGGGCGGGAAGTCCCGACAATTTTGTAAACGCACTTGTAAATGCCCTGGTAGCTAATCGCAAATAAATTTTCGATAAAAATCATTCCCAGAAGACACAAAATTATTTTAAAAAATTTTAAATATTTTCATAATTCATCTCACCTGAACGTGATGTGAATATAGGATGGGGCTCCAGAGAGGTAGCAATTTACTTAACAAAATAGACCCACACTCTAGGAGAGCTTCGAGTAGGCTTAAGAAATGCAAGTTTACCATCTCAGCTACCTGTGGAAACAAATTTTTATTAGAAAAGGATTTTATTTGAAAACGATCATACTTTCGATTATTCCTACGAGTTCTTCACGTACAACTTTCGAGTATCCCACCAGTTGCAATATACGAGGTGTTATTTTCCCCCAAAATTCCAGCAAAATATTCATGGTAACATTGTGGCCCTCGCTGTTCGATGGATTGTTTTTAGATAGCTCTTCCAAGTACATCGTCCATAGCTAAATATAAACTATGCTATCGTAATCACGACCAGGAAGCTCGGTTTAAATTAATACGTGTGCATACCTGACACAGTATAAAAGCATGGAACATCGAGGACATGTGTAAAACCGATGCTTTAGATTGTTCCGGTAACCCGGAGAATATAATTTGCACGTGATCCGCGACGTGGCAAGAAACCTCCTGTGGTATCGGTTGTGCAGATTGGATCGATGGTCCGTGGGTGTGGGTATTATTATTGCCAGCGTACATCGCGGTGTGCGTGAGAGAACCCAACAGGAGCCAGGATAGCAATCTGATGTGTCCAATACAATCCACATACTCGCGAGCTCTGGAAAATACGCGAATTTCAGTTTACCTGAAATTTCCTCGAAGATTCGTCAATTTTTTTCTCGATTAAAATTGAAAAACAGAATTACACAGAAAAATTCGAAATGGATAGGACTTATTGAGGTCTGATTTAACTGTTTGCACTGGAGAGGCGCCTTTCAGTCGCCATTTAACAAAATTTCGAAGACTTGTATTAATTAATATGTGAAATTTAACCCTTTGCACTGGAGAGGTGACCCTCAGTCACCATTTCATAAAATTTCGAAGATCTATATTAATTAATATATCAAATTTAATGTAACGTAACAGTGTGCAAGGTATCGAAATCAAATAATTCTACAATTCTATTATTATAAAATTCTTTATTTACTGCTTAAAAAAGTATCGTCAGTTTTTTAATAGAGAATTTTTGATTTTCTACTCTTCTCTAGCCAAAAAATCGTCGAGTGCAAAGGGTTAGGATATCGTAACAGTGTGCACAGTGTCGAAATTATATAATTCCACGTGTTAATTATTGTACAATTTCTTATTTACTGCTCAAAATAATATCGTCAACTTTGTAGTAGAAAATCTTTGAACTTCTACTCTTCTTTAGCCAAAAAATGGCGAGTGCAAAGGGTTAGGATAACGTAACAGTGTGCACATTGTCGAAATTATATAATTTTACATTCCACGTGTTAATTATTGTACAATTTCTTATTTACTGCTCAAAATAATATCGTCAGCTTTGTAGTAGAAAATCTTTGAACTTCTACTCTTTTTTAGCCAAAAAATGGCGAGTGCAAAGGGTTAGATATCAAGAAATGAACAATTACCCTTGCTGTATCATCGAAGGAGCGCTATAGAGCCATGGCAGATACCTAGCCACAGCTCTGTTCTCCCTGTTATTGCCTCTCGTAATTTCTAGAGCGACGTACTGCGCCAAACCACATTTCAATATACCGCCTAACGTGTCCTCGTTCAGTCCCACCTGCAATCCCTTGCTGTAGCTCTGCAAGGACCAGCAGAAGATTCATGTCACAGCGAAAATGATTTAGATGTCGGTGGACTCGGGGATTATTTAGCATTATTTCGTTTACCTTCACTTTACTCAAAGTGTGAAAGTCTGCCAAGAAGTCGAGCACGTCTGACAGCTGATTCTTCAGGGACTCGGAGGCGTTGGTATTGTAAATTGGCGATATGTCTGTTTGGACGTTCTCCAAAGCGATCGTGTTGGGTAACGAACCACCGATGTCCTAAAACATTCCATACTTCGAAGCATAATTTATCCAAGCGACGAATTTCTAACGGGACACCAGCTTACCTGGAGCACGAAATGCAGGAGCAAGAGAAAATTCGAGTCCGGTATACTGGTCTTGAACTTGATCGCCTGGATCAGCTCGAACACGATGGTTCTCCCGAAGAAGTGTTTGTCCCTGTCCCTGGTGAAGCCTCTGTGACAGAGGTAGCACAGATCCGTCAGGTAGCTGTACTTGATGATAGAATTCTGGATGGCGTAGCTCAGCACCTTGGCGAAGGGATCCAACATGCCCTGCAATTTCGAGAAATATTTTCGCGAGACGTCGAAGAGTTGAAGAGTCTTCGATCCTGTCATTCGACGGAGTTAAAAGTTGATGTTTTTAACACGAGTCGGGGAATATTTTAACTAAACCGGAACCGGGATCGTAAAACAGAAACTCGTCATAAAACCGGGTCGTAAATCACCGCGGAACGAGCATCGAACGATCTCTAGTCATCGAAAATTCCCGATCGTTGCACCGGCCAGCGAGGAGGAATAAATCCTCCGGCGCGTTTACGTCGTCCCTGTAACGACGACGATCGCGCGGCAACGATAATGATCGCGAACATCCACGACAGGTTATTTACGATCGGCGAACAGCTGACCTTCGACTGCTGGATACCAGGGACCTTCAATAAAGAAATCATGATCCTTAATAACGGAGTGGTGTCCTCGATGGACGAGAGCAGCAGCACGAGTCTGCGGAACAGGCCGTCAAATTGTGTCAGAAGACCGCTCCAAGTGGTTGCAGCTGGACCCAGACCAGCTTCCAGAGGTAGACAATCCAGGTAGCAGGCTATGTTGTATAGTATAATCGGCAAGCGTTCCATTGGTAGGGATTTCTTCGCGTTCAGGGCCTAAAATCCAAGGTTCCTTACAATATTTTAGCTACCTAACAGATGAAGACTTCTAAAGTGGATCACTTACGAATACTCTCACTCTCATGGATGGAAATATTCGGTGGGAAATGAATTGGGAAAAGAATTGACAGAAGTACCTCGATGAATTATTGCAAAAGTACCATGGGAGTGAGTTCGTTGTGAATTATTTGTGAATACAGACTCTCATAGTTCGAAATATTCGTTGGGAAATGAATTGGGAAAAGAATTGGCAGAAGTACCTCGACCAATGATTGTAGAAGTACTATGGGAGTAAGTTCGTTGTGAATTATTTGTGAATACAGACTCTCATTCATGGAAATATTCGTTGGGAAATGAAATGAGAAAAGAATTGACAGAAGTACCTCCATGAATTATTGCAGGAATACTATGGGAGTGAGTTCGTTATGGATCATTTGCGAATACAGACTCTCATCGATCGAAATATTCGTTTAGAAAAGAATTCGCAGAAGTACATCGATGAATAATTGCAGAAGTACCATGGGAGTGAGTTCGTTGTGAATTATTTGTGAATACAGACTCTCATAGATCGAAATATTCGTTGGGAAATGAATTGGGAAAAGAATTGACAGAAGTACCTCGACGAATAATTGCAAGAGTGCTATAGGAGTGAGTTCGTTGTGGATCACTTGCAAATACAGATTCTCATGGATGGAAATATTCGTTTAGAAAAGAATTCGCAGAAGTACATCGATGAATAATTGCAGAAGTACTATGATTCATTTGCGAATACAGACTCTCATCGATCGAAATATTCGTTTAGAAAAGAATTCGCAGAAGTACCTCGATGAATAATTGCAGGAGTGCTATAGGAGTGAGTTCGTTGTGAATTATTTGTGAATACAGACTCTCATAGATCGAAATATTCGTTGGGAAATGAATTGGGAAAAGAATTGGCAGAAGTACCTCGACGAATAATTGCAGGAGTGCTATAGGAGTGAGTTCGTTGTGAATTATTTGTGAATACAGATTCTCATGGATGGAAATATTCGTTGGGAAATGAAATGGGAAAAGAATTGGCAGAAGTATCTCAACGAATAATTGCAAAAGTGCTATGGGAATGAGTTCCCTGTGGATCACTTGCAAATACAGATTCTCATGGATGGAAATATTCGTTTAGAAAAGAATTCGCAGAAGTACATCGATGAATAATTGCAGAAGTACTATGGGAGTGAGTTCGTTGTGAATTATTTGTGAATACAGACTCTCATAGATCGAAATATTCATTGGGAAATGAATTGGGAAAAGAATTGGCAGAAGTACCTCGACGAATAATTGCAAAAGTGCTATGGGAATGAGTTCCTTGTGGATCACTTGCAAATACAGATTCTCATGGATGGAAATATTGGTTGAAAAATGAATTAGGAAAAGAATTCGCAGAAGTACCTCGACGAATAATTGCAGAAGTGCTATTGAAGTGAGTTCGTACTGAATTATTTATGAATACAGACTCTCATGGGTGGAAATATTCGGTGGGAAATGAATTGGGAAAAGAATTGACAGAAGTACCTCGATGAATTATTGTAGAAGTACTATGGGAGTGAGTTCGTTATGGATCACTTGCGAATGCAGACTCTCGTAGATCGAAATATTTGTTGGGAAATGAATTGGGAAAAGAATTGGCAGAAGTACCTCGATGAATAATTGCAGAAGTGCAATCGGAGTGAGTTCGTTGAAGTCGGCCAGGGCCTGAGTGACGCTCTTGAAGAACTGCATCCTCGTGGACTCTGAAAAATAAACAGTCATCCGAATTGCCTTCCCACCTGTGACAGAATCTGGATATATTAAGGTTATATACCATTCAGATGTGTTTGGAACATTTGCAAGAAAACGCCATTAGGCGCCAGCTGGTGCAGCACGCAACGTAGGAATTGGTGAGCCACGCTGATTGCGCCACCGGGCAGATGCTTGTTGCTCTCGCTCTGCCAAGGGTACATCGCGTTGAGGGCCACCCTGTACATGAGGACGTATTATTGATAGGCTATCGCTAAATAGACGAGATGAAATTCGGGACCGACTTTGTCACCACACGTAGAATTTCTGGCAAGAGCGGGGCTGCCAGGGACGGCTCGCGATGGATGAACGTGCCCAAATTGATGATGCACAGTCCAAGTTCCTCGTCGGAGTACTCCTCTTTTATCGTCCCGCATTCTGAGCACCTACCGCGAATTCGAAGATGGTATTACACACCAAGGATAGATATTTATCATTAACCTCAGACAGACCTACCTCTCGTAAATGCAGTCATCTCCGATGCGAAACAGACTCTGCTTTAGACTGAAGTCAGCGTGATAGGCCTGTTGCGAGGCGACGTCGAAGGCTGGCTGCAGTTGGGGACCAGACCTGTCAACGAAGAGAATCGTCATCGTTTTCTGAAATAGTCTGAAATAGCTCTAAGTCTAGTCTCTTCTTTGAGGAGACTATTAACCGAGTCTCGTAACAGAGATTTCTTTACCAAGAATCTGTGCGTCTGGTCATTGGACCATCTTGCCCAGTGATGCTGTCCTTTCGAGGCTTGTCTCGTTGGATACGAATGTGATCCTTTGCTCTGGTTCTCCGATCAGGGTCGAAGGCTCTAGAGGGATAATCTAAGCATTCGATCGCTGGAGGCGGCGATTCTAGAGCTACCTGCTTGATCAGTCGTCTTGGACTCGTCGATCTACTCGAGTGTATCTCGTTAGACGTTGGGACCAGAGATGCTGACTGAAAGATCAGGGTTTGTTACTTCGCGTGTGCACAGTCGACTCTGCAGAGCTATAAATACTATTCACCATATTCTCAGACGTTGTGCTGTCCTGTTTCACCGGCAGCTGACCATCTCCTCTCCCATTGCTGTATTTATTGGAATCTGAGGGATTTAACGAGTGATCGTCAATGAAACGATATAATTGGTTGTTCGTGCGATGACGACTCGTACCTTCCATCTCGTGGACCCCGAGCGCCTGGCGAACGTGCTCAACCAGGCAGGAGAAGTCTCTGTGAGGCCCAACAGGTAGCAGTCGTTCAGGCATGGGGAACTCTAACTGCGATATGCTTCGTGGACTCGTTATGTCGCTGGACATGCACGTTTCGCTGTCCTGATCGAAGGAAGAGCCTGGGAAACAAATTTCATTCGTTGGAAAATGACTGGAACTCGATATTTTCGCTTTTCCCTAATTTAGTAGCTGGGACTGTGACACAGTTACGAGAGTGAACGAGTTAAGAATCGTGAAAGAATGTGGCACGAGGAAAGCAAATACTTACTGACTGTCAAGACGTCCATCTTCGATAAAGGCGACTCGGGAGAGCCATACGTATCTTCGCATCGGAGAATTCGTTGAGTGGGTCGCGAGCCTAGAGAGTTATCAGCCGGTTGATAAAAGTTCCGTTTATCTGTGAGAATAAAAGATATTTACCAGCCGGGCGAACCGTAGTTCCAATAGGCAGGAGTCTCTCGACTGTTGGCGCTGTTAGCGGATGAGGAGGGTCGTTCCAGCTTGGATGCTGGCCATTGTCCGTGCTCGTGATCTGAGACGAGATCGAGCTGACTGCTGGCGAGCTTGACTGGTCGCTGCTCGTCACTGTAACCACTTGGCCTGGAGACACAGGCGAGGATATGGTCACACTTTGCTCTATGCGCTTCTGACGACCCAGTTGCTTAGAATTCGGTGAATCCGAATTGCTCGAACCTGCTGGGGGCATCTTGTCCTTCGAGAACTCGTATCTGTAACACGGTTGCGTTCATCTTCGTTAATGCGAACCTGTTTCACCAGATACGTGGGATGTAGCCACGAGGGGGAATTACTTTTGGACTTGGGCTGGCAGAGTGCTGACGAGAGCGCTAGATAACCCAAAAGGCTTCGAGGAAGCTGTGTCCCCGTTAAAAGAGATCTGTACAGTGACGTTCCTCTCTTGGGCAGCCTTCTCTGACGCTGACTTTTCGGGTATCCCTTTCTCCAGGATTCCCTTCTCTATCCTCTCTGTCATTTTCTCCATTCTCGACCCAGGAGTGTACCTCTGCAAATCTGCCTGACCACTCAATAACGTGCTTGTCACCATCATTTTCACGCCCTCGTGCACGCTCCACTTTTTCTGGGGCCCAGTCCTTGTACTCTGTTAGGAAAAGGTAGAATCAAGACTTCATCTTCAGCTAAGGACCTAGCTGTTCAATATTAACTGCATTTGTTTGTACATTTCGAGGATTTAACACTAAACGTGCTAAACGGTGTCAAATGACACCTTTCAGAATTGACTCTATAAATCGTACATTTATTGTTATTTCTTTCGCTCATCTGACTTTTTGTAGATTGTTTTATTATCTGATTATCTAATTTCTCGCTTCCCATTTTTCTTTTCGTTCATTTTTTAGCGAGAGAAATGCTTTGCATACCTTATGTACCACGAGGAGTCATTTGACCTCTTAAGAATAGGTGTGTGTAAAGGTGTAAACCCGTACGTTTAGTGTTAATAACTGATAAATAGTTTGTTCATCTTGGTATACCTGGTGAGAATCCTCCTCGCTGCCAAGGAACCACGTAGGTCTGCTGATCCCTTCCGATTTTCTGATAAGGTTCTGATTGTTCCATTCCATTTTCGTCAACATGTCGGACGAGATCCTAGATCCATGTAGAGAAACACTCCTGATAACAGACGTGGGTGTTTCCTCCAGTTCTCCGAGCGATCCCCCACTGCTGCCATGTAAGGTGCTGTCAGATTTTGGGCTCTCGGGTATTGCAGCCAGCTCGGACTCCGTATCATCCGCATTGATCGAGTAGCTTTGCAGAGCATTCACAATAGCGGAAATTGTAACAAGCAGCTACTGGTGTAAGCACAGGCACAGGTGTGACATGGTGTACTTTTCTCACTGGTTCTCGGATTGAACGTTTTCAAGACAGTCTAGGTTACTCTAGTGCCTAGAATTTGCTAGTTTCGCTATTCGGTCAAATGATAGGGGGGATATGCAACTTTACGACAGACGACTGTCCGACAGATCTGATCTCTTAGTCCTGTTTATTGCTACTTCGTTCCATGCCTAGTAAATACGAGGGAATGTATCGATATCTTTGTTCCCCTGGTCTTGAGTCGTGTCGTGAAAACGGTTTCAGATGCTCTAAGGTCACTCTATATACAAAGTGAGAGAAGTTCTCGGTTAACCTCACGATCGCTCGTTTCAGCTGTCCTTAAAAAGACGCAGTCGTTTTAAAAGATGACAAAATAAAAAAAAAGAAAGGGCAAGAGTATGAAGAAGTCAGTCAAGAGAGTGCAGAACTCGCAAACACGTCCATGTGAAACATTCCAAGCTGAAGTAGCCTAGTGCTCTACCTTCCCACGGGGAGTCTATGGTATCGACAGGGATGCAGTGTAACTAGGATGAATATATGTATCAAATAACCTGGAGTGCTTGTTCGTGTAACGACAGGTGGTTGCACTCTCCTCCCAATGAGTCTCCATCTGACTGTGCGTCGGCCCTGGACTTCGTTGGTGCACTGACACCATGGGAGTCCTTATCGGGGGACTCTCGGCGTTCAGGTCTCCCACGGTACTGGCCATTAACTCGTGGTCTACGCCCAGAGACGGTTGTGAGACGTCTAAAATTCAACGAGATGCCTCGTCAAGTTTAACTTCGTCGCGACGTTATTTTATTTAAAAATGTTCGCTCGGTACCGCGTGATCTGGATGGTGGGCCACCCATCACGACAGTAGCTGGAATCCTCTTGCACTGGTGGTACTGGGTGTCCAGAGTGTTCAACACGATCTTGATCAGCACTTGCAGCTGACTGCACCATGGCTGCTGGCCGTATTGACACTGGGCACGACACGACATTCATATAGTTATCTCGTAAGAATAGAGTGACGTTTAAGAAGACGCCTGTCTTACCTTATACAGTATGACAAGGAGAGACATTAACCAAGAACGTCTGTTTTGAGGTTCGAGGTACCAGAGGCTGTAAGTGGGTGCTTGATGATCAGACGGAGGCATACCTTGCGGAGGACAAGGACAGTGCTGAAGAATAGCTAGAACAGGCGGTGTCATCACCCATCCCATCACGTGGTTCTGGTCTAATAGTTGAGGCAGATTCGCGATGAAGACGTTGAACACTGGAGATACCCTGAAATAATATTTATTTATAATTTATATTAAAAATTTCAAATATTTAGGATTTAAAGATCTATTAGATCAGATTCTTTTGTAGAAAATACTTGGATTCCATTTTGTTTCAATTTGCTACCTCAGTCGTTGCGGTGAAGTATGAAAAGTGCGTTCAGTTTGGTTGTAGCCTAGTAGGAGGTACAGATGGCGCAACACGATTCCTTGAGTCTTCGATAGGGGTTTCTCATCCGTTGGATAGGCCTATGTTCGACGATATTTATTTCGTTAAAAATGGAGGTTCTCGAATGAAATAATCACAGCAAATGTTTTATTCACCTGGTCCTGTCTAGAAAGGAACTGCATTAGCAGGAAGACCAGCAAATGCATGGTCTCCTTGTCAGCTTCTTCCAAGTCCACGATCTTGTGAGTGTTTCCTGGCAGCGCACTAGTTTCGTCCACCATATTCAACGAATGAACATGTCCATCTGTAATATCGAACAATAATAAACATTGTGCCCAACGGCGATCAACCGAATCGCATAGAACGAGTGAGGTTTATAAAAATCTTACCAATGCCAGTGCTTACATTTTAAGATCAAAATTCTCTAAGTTTCTTTTCAATATCTGCGATCATGCACAAGCAAAGCCTGTCTCGATGTGTTCTAAAAATTCGTACAGTTAAAAATCTACCTTGCATTGTTCATTGCCAGGAAACTATCTACGAACATTCGCACTACCAGGGTAAGCGAGCTACCCAGAGGAAGAGATGTACGAATCTACAAAGAAATAAAAGTGTCCAAACACTACGAGTTAATGTCTACTCACTACGACTGTAAAAAAGGAAAGGAAAGAAAATGGGAACTTGTCTATCTACTGAATTCTAGATCAAACACTTCGATCCTATCGACAAACAATACCCAAAACAAGGGGGAACAAAAATTGTCGAATTCTCGAATTTCCATTTCCCTCAAACCAAGCTTGTCACTTAGCTCCATAGCACAAGACCTAAGTCAGACCAAGCGAAATATCCCCGTACAATCAAATGGTTATTCATAATGAAGGAACACCTTTAACCCTTCCAATTACTTGGCATACAAAGAACGTCTAAAGCGAACTCCCTCAAAGGAGGCTGATGAACCATCAAAACTTACCATAAAGGTTCCACATCGAACATCCTCAAACATTACCGCGTTTCGCGTACACAGATGGGAAAAGGGGCGTGTACATGTGTGTGTGTATGTGGGAACATAGAGAACACAAAGGAACGGCCACGTCTAAGGCTAGCATCAGCAGCGCTACTCTACCTGGTATACTGTTATTAGGTGGGGTGGGCCCCAGCAACTGACCCAGTCCGAATCTGGAGCTCTTGCGCTTCAGGATAGGCGCCGAGTATTGCCGGTTGTACACCTTCTCCTTTTCTGCGCGGTTCGACACGGTGGAACACAATTGAGAAACGCGTGTAACAGGTCAGGGCGTGAAGTGGTTTAGACGATGGACGATCGACTAGCTTTCTGTAACTCTAGGGCTAAGTAGGCAGCGAGAGATAGATTGCTGTTGTGGACTGCCTCTTCCTTCGAGATTCAGGGATTCGTTCGACTTTGGTACAGAGTTTCGCGATCTACAGGGTGTTTCGGAACGTTATTTATAATTGGGATTCCTTCTTTTTAAATAAATCTGTTTCCTCTTCTCTCGTGCGTTAACCCCTTGGTCTACAACCACGTTTGAGGCTCGTGGTCAGATGTTCGATCCAAAACTGATTATCACGAGCCTGGCTCGTGGTACATCGATCGGGTCGAAACTGACTATCACGTGCTTGGCACGTGGTACGTCGACCGGGCTAGATGTAAACACCACGTGTCACGCTCGTGATTTGTCGATGTGCTTCACGTAAGTCGTGTGTGATTGGGACAACTTAAGACAGATTTGTCGAGCCGTGGAATGGCTCGAAGGCTCAGCAGTTCTGCTGTTTAGGTTTTTGATCCACGTTGTTGATCCTCTTGATCCTCTACAACGTAGGTACTCGCGGTAAGGAAATCAGGAGAAACACAACGCAGTGAGAGGCGTGGTTTGTAGATAGGATCCAATGTAAACATCGTCAGGCTCGGACAGCCTCGTGGTTAATTTTCACTGATGTTTTCCTCGCTCAGTTGCGTGTTATTCTTCGCCACGTTAGGACGAAATGGCTCGACGCGTGACCGACTTTGCTGTTGATCGTGCCACGCGCCAACGGAGCTTCGAGAGTTTTCGAACCAGAGTCTGGTTAGTAACATTTATTTTATTTCCTTACAATGTTTTCTGAGAAAAATTTGGGCTGGGTGATAGAGTGGTCCGTGACCAACAATAGAGGAATCAGTTTGGACGTTTTCCTCGAACACAGAGAAGACACCTACGCGTTATTTTATTTACTTTATCGAGGGAATTAGTAATTTACGTAGCTAGGAAAATAGTAATTTGACTTTGTTGTTGATTATGGCGTGTGCCATCGGAACCTACATCGTAGGACAAGGGGTTAACAAGAGAAATTGAAAAGACGATCATTGAGTGGCTAATTTTGAATAAGAAATTGTAACAATTTCGATTTTTGCTTTAAGAGAAGTGTCGTAGATTCTTCATGATAGCTGCTAGTGTATGGATAGATGCTTTCTAATAAACTTTTAACGTTTGCACCTTCATAGATGACGAATATACGTTAATATTGCTGATAATCGAAATTAGGTATACCTCTATCCATGAAGAATTGCTTCTCTCATCATTCTCTGTAATCCTTTGTTTAGTTGATACTTTTCAACCACCCTGTAGAAAATGCATAACTCGACGACTTTGTTGTCAATCTCTGTCAATTTGAAGAATCCCCGTATCTCTTCAAGGATCCACTTGATTCTAACGATATTTCGAGATAACCTGATAAATCTACTATCTAATCTGACGTGACTGTTAATTTTGCAAGGGTCAAAGGGACATTCTCTGGGCCAGACTCCTATGTCTCCGAGTCTGACAGACTCTTAGGTGTACACTCTCATGATTCAACGTCGATAGTGATCTATGATGAACTTCTGACTATAAAGTAAGCTATGAAGTGAATCACGATATACTTTCCACGAATCGCGCGATTCGTGTACCTTGTTTAGTGTCCTGGCGAGGAATCATCGACGCAGGCGCGGACATTGTGCGCTTGTACGGCCATTTTGTGCCGAAGCTAGCGCTCAGCGTCTTTATGGAGTTGGTTCCGCTCCCGTCAGACTGCGACAGAGCTTCCTGAGCTCTGTGCAGCTTCTTCATGAAGATCTCGCTGTTTAGATCCGTATTTCTGAGATCTACGGACCCACGGATTACTATAATGGAATAGTTTCGTGAATTACTTCGACGAATAGCCTCGATTTTAATTATAACTGACCGCGTAGATAGGGCACATCCCCGGATCTCTCCAAGATTATCTGAGCCTCCAGGAACAGAGCCTCGAAACGGTTCAGGAAGAACTCCCATGTCAATATAGATCTGTCACTGAGACTGTTGTGCAATTGGTACAACGACTGCAGTACCATTGGGCGATCCACTATCACCGAGTCGAATTGGGTCTCCAGACAGAGGATCAGCGACTGGAAGCATTCACAAGTCGAGTGAACGCGCGTGTCGCGTTGGAATTGTTCGACGAGCATGACGAGTTGCTTACTTTCATGGCTGTGTCGTGAATGGTACCAAGGTACAAGGTGGATCTCTGAGCCACGTACACGTTGCTGTCGTCCATGCTGGCGATCAGATAACAGAATGCGTTCGCCAGAGCTGCCTGGAGGCTCATCACGTTTCTCAGAGGAGTCGAGTCCATGAATCTGGCGATCAGCGTAACTCTCTCGACTGTCAAGTATCGGAATATCGAGAAATTAATTTTTCTCAGCGGTGTTCAGAATTCTCGATCAACTTTATTTTCGTACCTGCCACGAACCGAACTCGCCAGTCCAGGTTGTGGAACTCTTCCTGGATCAGACGCCAGAAAGTGTCAGTCCCGCAGGGTAGCGTGACACAGTGTAGCAGCAATGGCACGGTGACTTGGGCTATGTGCGAGTGCTCGGCGTTTAGGAGTTCCCATAGACTGTGGAAGCAGTGAAACAAGAAGAAATGAAACTTAGCACGCCGAAGATCAGCCTTGATCGAGATTATCTACGAAATAATGGAAATACTTGGCATCGAGATGCACGCATTTTTACCTGACATTTTTACTCGTCTGGAAGTACAAAGAGTATGGTTGATAAAGAATAGATAAACTGTTATCTTTTGCGGGTGAAGGGAATCTCGCGTATCTAAGCTCGCAAGGAGAGTCTTACTTTTTGATCAGCAGATTTTCTTGGCACCAGATGAAGAAGCCTTGGTGGTCCTTCACCGCTATGTTGAAAGCGTCTCCGTAGAGACACATCACGTTTAGACATTGTAGCATGTAATAGAGGATGTCTGGCTTGTCGATCGTCATCACCTCCTGTCAATTAAATAAAAATGGAGGATTTCGTCTCGCAAAATGTTTTTCATTTTCTTCTCCAGCATCGTACCTTTAGAAGCTTGTGTATATACTGCAACTGCTCGGGAAGATCCTCGATATTGAATCGAAACTTTCCAACAGACGTGTGCCAGAAATCGTCTGTCTCGTTCTCTGGGCTGAGATTCAGCGGCTGATCGTTCTCTCCTATCAGTCGTGGTTTGGCTACGCTCACTGTTGCTGTGGCTGGAATAGAGAAAACCAATTAAAACCAATCTTCTAACATCTATAGAAAATTTGGGATAATAATTGTATAATGATTAACAAAATTAGACTTGAAAATTGGACAGAGTTCGATTCTTTTATGAGTCGAAGTAGAATAGACCTGTACTTGGTCAGACATCACACTCAGGATCTCTCGACGAACTCGAGTCCTTTTTAATCAACTCTTTGCAGATAGACTGAGCTTACGTGAAACTAATTTAGTATAGAAATCAAAATTATTTGAGAAATTAAATACAAAAATATACTGAATAATTTCGGAGAAAATTTAGATGAAAGTTTAGAGTGAAACTTCTGTGTTCATCCGAAGTCGTAAAAATGTTGAAAGGTTGATCCAAACATAGCGATTTAAGAGACTCATCTTCGGAGTACTTGGATCCATTTATCGGAAGTCTTCTGATCCAAGTATAGCAGCGAACGCGATACAACGAGGTCGTAAAATCGGTGGAGCATTAGAGTCAATACGTTCAGTTGCTGGAACAAGCGATTGCCAGCAATACTGGTTAACACTGGGATTACTCGTTCCCCAGATATCACGTTCAAATTTATAATCAAGTTTACAGGTTAATCTACATTGGAACAATTTAATTTACGAACTCGTTCTATCCTGCCCACTGCAATGCAGCTACAATACTTAGCATAAGACATGTCTGACTCTGACACTTCGTTTACGAAGTTCGGAAGTGTCAAAAAGTCTGTCAAATTAACGCGACACTCGAAACCTATCAATTATCTGTCAATTAATCACAACGAATCAAGGCTGAGATCATCAATCAGGTATCAAGGACGTGTTTAGGCGAATTTCTTTCTTACCTACGTCAGTCTCTGAGAGGGTAACGGCCCGGGCAACAGCCGACATGACCTTTTCCGTTGGCATGATAGCCGCAAGGTCCAGCTGCTCCGAAACTGTCTCTACTGTGGCTGTCATGATCTGTTCGAAGAACTGATATAAACGATCAAAATAGCTACCTCCGGCCACATAGATTAGCCTACCGTGTCAATGGTTCACACAACGCCATTTCGCAGTGGAAGAAGATAGACAGAGAGAGGCACACACAGTTTTTTTTTGTTTTTTTGTTTTTTGTTTTTTTTTTTTCTAGTTAGATGAACAGCATGCTGCGTTTATTGTTGTTGCGGAAAGTGTTTCGCACAGAGAGATAGAAAGAAAGACGCTGTGTCTCTTAGGCGGTGTAACAGGTTGTATAATAGAAACAAGTGTATAATAGAACATCTCGAATTTGACAGCGGGACGTTTTCGTGGAGTATACCTGAGGCATGTGCGCGAGAACGCCACCGACCGAGTGCGTTTCCGCTACCGGCATACTGATCACCACGTCAGACTTCGAGTCACCTTTCCTAGATGTCTCTGGACTCTTGCGACCGTGATCGTCCGCGCTGTCATCCACGATTTTCTAAAGACCAAAACACAAATCCAGTACAAGCGAAGACAAAAGATCCAGGTGATTCCTTGGTCCGGTGATCAAGCAAACGCTGACTGGCGTGTGAATGACTCGATTCTTCTGATTTTTCTAATCGGTGTCATCTCTAGATATCGAGTACAAAGAACTCACGTCGGGAGGGTAAGCTGGACTCTCCGGTGCCATGTAGGTGACCAATTGTAGACATAACTGGTGCCAGATCACGCTAGACTCGCAGTAAGTGCACTCGCTATTGGCACTGCACACGTGACAGTTGTTCCAACTCGCGGCTACGATCGACTTCATCAGACGACACGCATCCTTGCACACCCACGTGTTAATCCCTGTGTGCTTGTCCACGTTCTGCAGCTCCATCTACGATATTTAACGTAGCACATGCTTCATCCTGCTTCCGTGAGAAAGCATACAGAAGCTTTACCTGTTTCAACAGAATGTCAAGCATGAGAATGCAACAGGATAGGTTCAGCTCGGCAT